GTTAGTTAGTTAGTTAGTTAGTTAGTTAGTTAGTTAGTTAGTTAGTTTTGTTTTGTTTTTTTGGTTTTTGTTTTTTCTAGACAGGGTTTCTCTGTGTAACCCTGGCTGTCCTGGACTCACTTTGTAGACCAGGTTGGCCTCGAACTCACAGAGATCCACCTGCCTCTGCCTCTCTTAAGTACTGGGATTACAGGTGTGCACCACCATGCCCAGCTCACTTCAGTGATTTTTTTTATGCAAATAAATATATTGAGAGTTTTTCATGGCATATCTTTTATGTTTGAAAGAACTGGCAGAAAAACTGTGGTTATTCGGAATTAACAAAGTCTCACTGTGTGTAGCACTAGCTGGCCTGGAACTCACAGAGCTCCTCCTGCCTCTGTCTCCAAAGTGCTGGGACTAAAGGCATGCACCACCACATGCCCAGCAACAAACTTTTTTTTTTTAATGAAGTAAGTCTGTCACTTCCAAGAAAAACAAACAAACAAAAACAAAAAACCTGTTAGTATTTTTTTTTGCTAATATTAAAATTTGATTAATGTGAAAATTAGAACTTGGGAAATCTTATGACCTCCATAATGAACATGACAACTTCTTATATAAAAAAAGTTTCTGATTAGGTCACTAATGATGCTAACAAATATGATTTTAAAGATAAATATAAAATTCATCAGTATTTGACTTGTGTTTCTGATTATGTTCAGAGATGTAGTCAAGCAATTTGAATGCAAAGAAGTGAAAAACAGATTGTGTGTTTATTAGGGAACACTGTTCTCAAAGGTAATAATCGAGGAGACTCCTGAATTTAGTAAGAGGAAGCCAATTGGAAATCAAGAACGCCATTGCAAAACCATAGCACTTCAGTCAGAAGAAATGAGAGATAATTCATTTTGGCACAAAATATGCATGACTGTGGCCTAGGAACGCAAACTCAAGTGCCATGTCCCAATTTGTTAGCAGTTTCGTGAAGTTTTTGCAGTAACAGAAGAAAGTCATTAATCAAGGTGCCTTAAAAATGCATTCTTGAAAGCATCAGGTTGGCAGGTTAAAGTGAAGAAGGGAAATCTGCAACAGGCCTCAAATATTATCTGATGACTTTGTTGGTCTTTGTCTTGTACATTCCAAAAGGAGTTAACGAGGGATGTTAGGTGAAACACAGAGGAGGGATATGAATGGCTATGAAGAAGGCTGGAGGTAGACAAAGGGCATTTGACTTTGGACTTGTAATGCCCCAGGGCTCCATAATTACAGATACAGTCAGTAAACTTTTTTCACATCAGCACAGCCTTTTCCTGAGCTCTTCAGTTCTTAGTTCTCCCTGTCAGTTAAGCATCTCCTTTTGTGTGTGTGGAGGGCAGATATTGTTTGATTTCCAAGATGGTAGAATGACTCTTTCCTAGGAAAGCAGGTCCTCAGTAGACAGGGATGCAATCTTCAAGAGAGAGAAATAGTGGTTAAAGGCAATCCCTGGATCAAATCCACTGTCCATCATGATCTCGATCTGACTGTTTTTTTTTCCCTCTCTGCCTCTCAGAACATTTACTGATGACATAAAATAGGAATATTATACCTAAACTTAAAATATGAACACAATATGGCCATGTTAAGTTACAAATCCTTTAGCTGCTCCATTCTCTCCCCCCCCCCCACCAGAAATCAAGACAGTCTTTCTTTACACAATGCACAAAACTATCTCCCCAACAAAAGGGAAATGGACTCAGAGTCCCACCCCTAGCCAAAAAAGTGTCTGCAATTGATACCTGCTGGGAGAGGGAAGATCAGTGTTCTCCAATGGAGTGTTACTGGGTGTGTCACCCACAGTCCAGGGTAGGCCCCACGTGAGTAGTTGGCTGCCACAAAACTGACACCAAATCATGTTTTTTGCGTGATTTTTTTTTCTTGGTTTGTTTTAGTATTTTTTTGTCATATTGATTTTGTTTCTTGTTGTTTTTTTTTTTTATTTTCATTTGAGGAGGAGGAGAGAGAGAGTGTGTATGTGTATGTGTGTGAGAGAGAGACAGAGACAGACAGAGAGAAAGACAGACAGAGAGAGAGAGAGAACAAACCTCAGGTTGGGTGGGTAGGGAGGTGAGAAGTATCCAGAAGTTAGAAGACCAGAAATAATATAACCAAAATAGTACTGTGTGAAAAAAAAATTTAATTAAAAAAGTCCAATGAAAAAGATAAACATTCTTAAATGATTTCAGGAGATGCCACAAGCATCATTGTGCTTTAAGGTTTCATACAAGTGTATGCTGCCTGTGGAATATGTTCCCGTTCACCTCTCCATCGTCCCTCTTTTCCTTCCCTTACATTAGTCCTCTTTGTCGTCTGTGCAGTTTCACTTTTATTCTTGTGTCATATGTACGTGTGCGGTTTTATGTGTCTGTGTAGTCCAGGGGCCTCAAGTGAGTGAAAACACACTGTCTGTCATGCTGAGAATGGCGTGACCCGGTTTGTCGGCTGTTGCGTCTCTTTACCTGAAAGTCACCATGACTTCCCTGCTCCTTGAGGCGGAAACCCCACTGGTTGCAGCTGCCATGTTCTCTTTATCCATTCTGTTCTTGGACACCTAGATAGTTCTACAACTTAGCTGTTACAAAGAGTTCTTCATTGTGCCTTGATGTGCAAACATCTTCATGATGTGTTGATTTAGGTTTTAATTTCTTATTTTATAATCAGAAAGGGAAAGGGGATTCCAGTGGGAATTGTAGCGTTACTTCTCACTAGTAAAATATGACTACTTAATATTTTTATAATACTGGCTAGCTATACCGTAGTATACCTTAAATGCCATTTAATCAAGAAACATGGGCCCTTAAGCGATGTGGGCATCATGAATGTTTTTGCCATTTTGGTGCTGATTGTTCTTGTGAACCTGGATCTTTGGATATCCTTACAAGAGTTGAAGTTACTTTGAGAGAGAAGTCTCAGTATGTCAGAGAGCTTTTCCAACCCTTTAATTTGTTGTATTATTAACATTTTAATTTTTTTTAATCCTTTGAGAATTAATTCAATATATTTTGATCATGTTCAGTCCCAAGTCCTTCCAGATCTGCCTCTACTTCCCTGTGCACCCAACTTTGTATCTTCATTAAAAAAAAAAAAAAATTAAATCCAACATACTTTGATATATGTCACCTTCCCCTGGAGCCAGTCTGCCTGCAAGGAGCCACATCCTTAGAAAATGTTCTTTCTGTGCTGGCAGCTATCAGTTGTCAGCTAAGGGTGGAGACTTCATCCACCTCCCTCCCCCCTCTTCTTTCCCATCTCCCTCCCCACCCCACGCTGGAATTTCATCTGGCATGAGCTCAAACAGGTCTTGCTCATGCTGTCCTAACAGCTGTGAATTCCTTTGGGCAGCTGCCTCAAAATACCATTTAATTATGGTTTTTATCCACCGCCTCTGGCACTACAGCCTCTCCACCGATCCCTGAGTATTGGGAAGAATGTAATACACCTTTCCCAATTTAGCCTACTTGGCACCTCCTATTTGGGGTCTACTGCAATCTCCTCTTCTCCACACCTGGCCCAGTTGTGGGTCTGTGTTAATCAATCGACCGCAGAAAGCAGCTGCTCTGATGAGGGCTGAGAGATGCCTTACTG